CTGCAAAAATGGACGTGCAGAGGGGTTGGGAGGCTTGCAAAGTGCTCCTGGGGGCTGGGGGGGCAAAAACATCCCGTTTTTCACTCGATTTTGCCCTCCACAACCCCCAGGAGCACTTTGCAAGCCTCCCAACCCCTCTGCACGTCCATTTTTGCAGTTTTGGTAGGCCAAAAGTGCTGTGTTCAGTGTATAAGACACACCCAGATTTTCACCCCCTTTTTGGGGTGAAAAAGGTGCGCCTTATACTCCGAAAAATACAGTTTATCTTCTCAGCTGAGTTGCGTGGCAGAGTGGATTGCGAGTGGATTGCGGCGCTTCAACTGTCTTCCTCCCCAGCAGAGATGGGGAAGGAACATTTTCTCAAAACTTGCAAAGAAGCGCGTGATCACCGAACTGGTTGTTCAACCAGTAGGATCCCACCACTGATCCCAACTGTCCCCATCACCTGGACTAGAAGATACGTGATTTTTTTTCCCCACCTTACCTTGGCCTTGGCTCGCAGAACTTGGTCTTCTTTCTTCTCTAGCTCGTCCTGCAGGGACTGTTTTTCCAGCTCCAGCTCCTTCACTCGTTTTTGTAGTTTGAGGAAGAGAGACATGTCCAAAGGTGCCTTTTTCTCGCTTGGTTCCTGATTGACAGGGCAAATGGGGAAGGGTGGTAGATCAGAAAGTTCTACTGGAAGGAGGGGCAGATCTGCATACTTTTTGTTATCGTGAGGAAAAAGATGAAAGCACATGGGAAATAAGGGCTTGCAGGGAAACAGGCCCACAACGCAGAGGACCAAACGTGGCAGCAACATTGGAGCATCAGCTGAGACTCTCTATAAGGAACAAATCCCAAGTTCAATTCAATTCAATTCAATTTATTAGATTTATAGGCCGCCCAATCCAGGAGGACTCCGGGCGGCTTACAAGAACAAGAAAAGAAAAACAAAATAAAAAGTAATTTAAAAATTCCCCAACACGCGTACGTTCTGATCGGGGCTGGACCCTACATAATAAGGTCAACAGCCCCAGGC